GGGGGGGGGGGGGGGGGGGGGGGGGGGGGGGGGGGGGGGGGGGGGGGGGGGGGGGGGGGGGGGGGGGGGGGGGGGGGGGGGGGGGGGGGGGGGGGGAGGCGAGACACAGTCAGTCAGACAGACAGAGACCCTTTCCCCCTCCCCCCTCTCTCCCTATGTTCGTGTGCATGGCTCTTTTCTGCAATGGCCGAACAAACCTAGTCCGACCTCCCTCCGCACGCTCTTCCTTCCGTTCTCTTTTAGCTCCATAGCGCTCTCAGCAACTTGGCCCTGGCTTCCATGCTGGGCGGACTGTACGCCATCTACACCAACAAGGAGAAAATGGGCAAAAATCACTGGACTTCTTGGCACTCGTGGGCGGGGGTACTGGCTCTCGCTCTCTGGGTGGGCAACTTTGCCGTTGCGGGAGCTAACACGGCAGACCTGGAGAAGAGACGCCTCGTGTTCTTGTGGAAATCCCGTAATCACCGGTGCGCAGAAGTTTCACCGCATGTCTGTTAAAACGCTGCCTGATGCTTTCTGAATGACATTGAAAGCGACATGGAGATCGATTCGAAGCGAACTGAGAACCTACCTTGCGTGTGTAGAAACCCTAAGTACGAACACATTTTCGATTGGACAAGAAAACGGACCAATCAGAAAACTGCGGGCACCTATTGGCCCTACAGCCAGTGCCCCATTGCAAGAAACGTCCTGTTGGTGTTACCCGTAGTCCGATTCTCGTGAGTAGCATCCCGTTTCCACCGCCCCATCGCCTAGTTGCACGCTCACTAACGTAAGATTGGAATTGTAGCAAGAGTCTGCTGGTGCTTCCTAAGGAGTATGCCTTGAACACGTAGCAACGGGAAGAGGTGGGGGTTGCAAGTTTGGGACAGACGCCATGTCACCAAGTTTCGAGATGCCCACACGTGGTTGACGGGTGCACGTCCCGTTGCTCCGTTCCACTTTGGAATCTACCCAGAGCGAGCACCAATGGTGATGTGGCGTGAGCGAGGAGGTGGACCTTCAAGTGACGACCGCCTCTTCTCTCATGGCACAGCGATGCGGTTGCAGCTCTCAATAACGCACTTCAAGCACACTTGTGCAGCGTACAGCTCAATCTACCGCGGTATCTCGAGCCCAACCGCCCACGTGTTACTCGTTGTACCAGGTGGGCTGGCAAGGCTGCGTTCTGCGCAGGTCTCGGGGCTGTTGTCCTGGGATTGCACAGCGGCTGGGGGTTGCGGTCCCTCGGCGGAGAGCGGGGCGCGTGGACCTTGACGGCGGGAGTCCTGGGAGTGTTCGTGGGGATCGTGGCATCGGGAGGAGAGGCTCAAACCCCCAAGAAGGGCTAGAGGTGCTGCTGCTGCTCTGCTACTAGGAGGGTTATTTCGCCGCAGCGTACCACTCAATACCTTACAGCAGTAGTTTCTCTGCGATGATTTGCGCTGCTTTCAGATCTTCAATCGGTGCTCTGTAGATGTTGTGGTCGAAAATAAGGAAGACTTCGATCGTCCGTGTAATCGAGTCTGGGTCCGTGCATCGCGTTCGAAGAGGCCAATATTTAGAGCCTGTTTTTTCCCTCCTGGGTTGGAGGCAATCAACGGTCGCGGCTACTCCAACACGGCTACCTCTACCATTCATATGTAGCATGTCGAGTGCGTCCACAGACTGCTTGTTCACCGTTCGTGGAAAGTGGATTTAACGTTGACCCTCGCAATAAATGGGGAGCAAATTCGGGTTCGTGGGAAAGCGAGCAGAGGCTGCGATACAGGGGCCATGTGGCTAGTGCCAGAATGCTGGTTCTGCATAACACTTGTGAGTCTACTGCTGTCCCATTCCTTTTAATGTTCGTATGGCATTCACCTCTCGTCTTCGTTTACGGCAAACGAAGGGCGGCATGTTCCTTGTGTGGAAGATGACATTTTTCGTCTGTGCTGTACCACCGCTAACTTACTGTAGTCATAGAGGGCAGGCGATACGTCAACGCTGGTCCAGCAGCAAAACGTTTCTGTTTTTCCTAGCGTCCCTACAGGACTACCTCTGTTGTATTGTTGTAGCTCTGACTGCGCACTATCGTATCAACGTGTGGTCTGGCACGGGGAAAAACCGGATGGTGGGTAGGGCACGAGAGGGTTCTTGCTGCAGGCGCCCGTCGTGTTGTCATCAGACTTAGTGCCGACACGGTTCACGTGAGTGCGAAAGTTGCAGAAGGTTAGTCACGAGCTATCGATGAAGGGCTCGACTTGATGTCATCTTTGCTTCACAAGTGTTGCCCAGAACGTCGTCCGTGCCACGCGGGCGATGATGCCGTGTTGTTCCAGCAATTGTCCGTGTGGTGGCGTTGTTCGTCTGTCATTGCAACATGTCGTACTACTTTGTTCAATTCTATTTGGATGCTGCTGACGTCGGGAAGGTAGTCGTTCACCCTCCCTGAACGGTACAGTAGCTGTACAGGCCGGTTGATTGGTGGTCTGGTTAGCGTTTGCTGCGCAATCGTCAACCTGTCATGGTACGTGATTTCGGTTTTATTGATTGTTCGTGTACGGTGCTAACGTATCTAGCGGCTGCATCATTGTGTGCATCGAGCGTGCACCAGAACCTTTAAATACCTTGTTTATTGGCCACGTGTTGGAGTTTTGGTAGGCTCCAGAGTCCACGTGGCGCCACACTGTTGCCTATCAGCGACAATCCTCGCGGTGTGCAGAAGGGTACAGCTTTTCACCCACACCAACAGAGGTATATTTATGTTGAACAATCGTACATATCTCGGCTTTAGTTTGTCCAGAGAATGAAATGATGGGTCAGGAGATGTACGTGGAACACACTATATACTCAGACTATATGCTGTCGGCTTTTTTTTCGTGTTTGCAAACGTGCGATGATATTGCTTCGCTCGAGTAGCTCGCTTGGGCATTCGTCCCTGGCGTTCCTCGCGGGCAAGCGCCCGCCGAGCAGTGAATGCCTTTTCTTCAGATGAAATTACTTCAATGCCGCATGTCAACCTCAACCTTGATACACTTGCGTCGCTTTTCCGTGTGTGTGATCTGGCGTTCAAGTTCCTCAGCGGGGATAGCTTGGTTGTCACTGATCCACAAGAACATCGCATCATCTGAATGGTTGACAACGCTACGGGTGACGTATGTTCGAAGGCCAAAACCACCGGCGGGGCGGAAAACCTCGGTTTATTGTATTTTTCCGAAGTGTCATTTTTATTATTGTTTTTCCACGAAGTCTGGAAGGTAACTCTCTGGCCAATAACGAGGGGACGACACCAGTCGCTTCCCTCTCTCCTCCAGAGTCCAAGTTCCCCTTCCATGTCAACTGGCAGGTCCAAATAAAATGCCTTCTCAGTACACCAAGACCCCCCAATGGTTGTTGTTGTTGTTGTTGACTTCACATTAAACCGTATGCCAGTTGCTGAATGCCAAAATCTAGCAAAGACTCTCAGCCCGTGGTCACGAAAGTGCTAGAGCCATCTGAGGATCTAAAGAACACGCACACGTAGCAAGAAAAAGGTATCCAAGAGCCCGAAGAGGTACTACTACACCTATATATAATCCCTGCAGCACCGTACGCGTGCCCAAAACTGAACTACACGTCCGTCTCACCGTTCGACTACAG